AACACACACACACACGCGCACGAAACCATAGATTACCTCGGTTTACTTTCAACAGGGTGACATAATAGCAGTTTATTCTAGACTTTTCAAACTGCAGTCTTTGTGTTGTGAAACTCTCTGTACAATAATTATTGCACTTCTATTGCGTATATCCGTGCCTAACAGTATACTCTATGCACTTTACTACTATTATTGCCATAGCGGACCCAGTTCACCCAGAAATATTTTCGGCTCTCTGGAAAGCATACAGTGCAAGCAGCCGAGTAAGCGCTGCAAGATTTCTTGCCGTCAATAGCTGGGGACTCATTCCCGCTTGCGTAAAGTGAAGAAAGTTCGAGCAAAGTGTCTTTCCCGAGGACACATCGTTGGAGCCACCGACGAGTACGAATCCTTGCCTTTTCGGTTACGAGTTCCACAGCCTAACCACTAGACAACAGACGTTACACTGACAGAGCAGACCACACAGTATGTACGCCATGATATGGGTCTATTCTGTGTTAAATACTGAAAAGTAAATTAAGAAGCAAGGAATGCTATTTTCCCATATGGCCGAGCCATATATTTAGCGAGTCTTAAAACAACTTAAGTTCAAGAACGCTCGATGGGGACTCAAACAAGGGTCACTCACGCAATGTTCCCAATTATACCAATTGAGCTAACGATGGGCCCAAACCATACCTGCCTCTTCCCCACCCCACAAAACAACCCTAACCAAACACCGGCGTCTTTCTAAACGATAAAGTGCCACGTCGATTCAAGTAAACAGTGCCAAGTTGGAAATACCAATAAAGATAAAACTTTTTTTAAAAGCACTGTGTGCGGCTGAAAAGTTGACTCCAAAGAGAGTTTCTCGAAAAAAAAATCTGCCGTTCACCACAATTTATATTTTCTAAATCGTGTTCAGTTCCTGGGACGGTCGCACCACGGTTGGCGTCACAAGCAGTAAGCACAGGAAGTTATATCTCATCACAGAGATCTCTGTGCCGCAGTTCCAAACTGGGGCACCACCACAGACAGAGTTTGGGCACCACCCTGCGAGAACCAGTGTTTTGTTTGGTTAGCTGTATACCAGGGGGTTCTTGTTTGGCTTTTTTTTTTCTTTTTTTTTTTGTTCGCACTTTGCTTAAATTCTTGACTTTTGCGATTTTCAAAATTCTTCCAAGAATTCAAGCCGTTCGCGAAATTACGAAAGGGGCGGTACTATAGCCCGTCCAAATTAAAAACGTCATGGATTTTGCAGTGATAACTTTTGTATCAAACTTACTAGATCTAGATCTAGAATCCAGATTTAGATCTACTTATTTTGCTCTAGATCTAGATCTAGTAATCTGGCATCAATCTTTTTTTTTTAATTATAAATAAGTAAATGGTTCTGGCCAGCGTATTGATAAGCAAGGTTTTCTCTTTGTCTTTATTAAAGAAAACATTGTATTTTTTAAAAAACCTGTTATAACTTACACAGTGTGACTCGTAAGAGTAAGTTGTTTTTGTTTTCGTTTTCTGTTATGGCTTCCTGCGTGTGCACCATCTTTCGGTTTCGGAAATTTCCAATTTTAATAGATCAAAAAGAAATATGTTTCAGAATTGTTCAGTAAAAACATTTACTTTCAGTGGACTCTCCTAAAAAGACACTAGTGACGGGGATAAGTACCCTTTCACATCAACCTATAGATCTAAAGACCCCAAAAAATATATTTCTGAAAAAGACAAATCGGCATTGTCGCTAATTTAGAATCTCAAGGCTCAAAGTAAATGGAATTAAAAGCTATTATCAAAAAGCACTGGTTTCACGGTGGGTGAGCTAGATATCTATAAATTGGATCCCAAAAACACAAACGACACTTAACTAGGCGACTGAGATTCAAAATATCCGCGAAACACGGAATGGGCAAAGCACGGAAAAAATGAAAGCAAAAATCCGGTGCACAGCAGCAGTTGTGCACATCTTTTAAGTTAATTTTCTCATCCACGACGATTGTACTTCATCTTCCATCCCGAGAGCTCTGAGTGAAATAAATAGCTCAGAGCTGTTAAAACCTGTTAAAATAAATTTTTAAAAAGTACTCTATCTGCCTTGAGTTTGTCGTAGAATCAGGAAAAACTGGGAATATCCTGATTCAAAATACGATTTCTTTTAAATAATACCAGTTACAACAATCACTATATCGCTATGTCCTTGATCTTGAATTGGGAGCTCATTGAAAATACACGATAACGTTTTAATATTTCTTTGAATAGCCATTGTGTTGTTCTTTTGTCTTGAAAAGCGACTTTTTCGTAGGTGTCTGAATGGCATGCTTAATTTCGTGGCTTTTACTTTTGCAACTACGGTCAGTGCGTCAAACACTGTTTGTGCTATAGCTGTTGTTGTCTGTGTGCATGTTCGTTGGGTTTCCCTTTGCAAGGTAACGCTCTAGTAGGTCTTGTGGG